AAAAAAAAAAAAAAAAAGTTTACTTGAAAAACAATATCAGTGCCTGACCGGGCTTATCCCCAAAAAAAAAAAAAAAAATGGTCTGGAGTGCGAGCTGGATTCAGTACTTTGTGAAAGCTCCTAAAAAAAAAAAAAAAAACAGGGTTTATGAACCACTGCCTTAGATCTGGTCCCTACAGAGAAAAAAAAAAAAAAAAAAAAAAAAAACCTGACCCAGTCACTTCCCTGCTTTCAAACTTCCAAAAAAAAAAAAAAAAAAAAGAGGCAGTCCAGGCCCCATTCCACAGCACACTAGGCCTCTGGGAAAAAAAAAAAAAAAAAAGATTAACCTCTCTGGCTACCATTTCCACCAGCATCTGCCTCACAAAAAAAAAAAAAAAAAATCCAGCAGCATCCTGCACCACCCGTGGTGTGCCACACCTCTGCTAAAAAAAAAAAAAAAAATTCTCCTGGATTGCCCTTCCCCACTCCGCCACTCAACTCAGGTGAAAAAAAAAAAAAAAAACCACCTCTGAATCTCCAGGACAGGCCAGTGGCCCACCTAGGTCCAAAAAAAAAAAAAAAAACCTGTCATTTGCTACGTGGTTGGTAGCCACAGTGCCTGGCTTAGAAAAAAAAAAAAAAAAAAAAAACAATTTCATCCCCTGTGACCAGCTCCAAGCCTTCCCCTGAAAAAAAAAAAAAAAAAGATCTCTGTGACTTCAATTAATTCATCTATCCATACATCCAACAAAAAAAAAAAAAAAAAAGCTGTGTGCTAGGTACTGCTCCAGGTACTGAGGACTCAGCAGTGAAAAAAAAAAAAAAAAACTGTCATGGGACATACAGGATAGTAGGGAAAAGACAGATAATCAAAAAAAAAAAAAAAAAACACATCTGTGGCTTAAGAAAAACTCAAGCAGGGCGATGTGACACAAAAAAAAAAAAAAAAAGAGGGAGGCCTCCCTGAAGAAGTGACGTTGGATTGAGAAGTGCAAAAAAAAAAAAAAAAAAGCAGAGGAAATAGGACCCATGTGGGCCTAGAGTCAAGAATGAGCTTGAAGTGTCTGAGGAACTTAAAGGCCAGTGTGACCAGAGGGAAGTGAACAAGGTCAAAGAAAAAAAAAAAAAAAAAATCCCTGGATGCTTCTAAGCAGGAAGGTGATATGCTCTGGCTTACAAAAAAAAAAAAAAAAACCTGGACTGGAAGAAAGCAAGGGTGGATCTGGAAAGACCACTAGAAAAAAAAAAAAAAAAAGTGAGAGAGGAAGGGGGCTAAGACTAGGGTCAGGGCAGAGGAGGAAAAAAAAAAAAAAAAATAGGATGTGTCGTGGGCTGGCGGATGGATGATGGGGAAGAGGAAAAAAAAAAAAAAAAAAATTTGGGGTCTAAGAAACTGGGTGGATGGTTGAGCAGGTAGAGAAAAATCAGCTTGGGAGGAAACAAATCAAGACTTCTGTTTTGGACATGGTGTGAACTGCTTTCAAAAAAAAAAAAAAAAAGTATCCGGATACAGAAGTCTAGAGCTCACAGAGGAAGTCAAGGCAAAAAAAAAAAAAAAAAAAAGTGGGGTTATTAGCATAGAGGGCCAACATGGTGAAACCGTGAAAAAAAAAAAAAAAAAAAAATTAGCCAGGCATGGTCGCGTGCACCTGTAATCCCAGCTATAAAAAAAAAAAAAAAAAGGAGAATCGCTTGAACCCAGAGGCGGAGGTTGCAGTAAGCTGAGAAAAAAAAAAAAAAAAACAGCCTGGGTAAGACTCCATCTACAGAAAAAAAAAAAAAAAAAAAAAAAAAAAAAAAAACTGGAGTGCAGATGGCTACAATCTCAGCTTACTGCAACCCTCCGCCTCTGGGGTCAAGCGATTCTCCGGCTTCAACCTCCCCTAAATACGCTGGGATTACAGGTGCACGCGACCATGCCTGGCTAATTTTTGTACTTTCAGTAGAGACAACGGTTATCACCAT